CTGCAATAAATATGGATTTAACTCATCAAACCTTTTTTGTTGTTGCATGTTTTCTCTATTCAAACATCTGTCTTGTATATAATGTGAACACTAATTTTCGTACCACTTATATTTCAATACCGTATTCCCCCTTCAGTTTGTGATTTGCCTGGCAGAAATAGGAATTAAACTAATATAACAAACAATTTGTCGGCCCATTCTTATATTGCAATAATTACATTACAGTACAGTGACAGTCAATTCCAATAACCCTCAAAAATGTTAACATATATTTAGCAGTCAAAACAAACTGAGGATATATACTTTACAGCTTATTGATGTCATTGCAAAAATGAAATATTTATATTTTTTAGTTGTGATACGTATTTTGTACTTTGACATTTGTTTCCCCTTTCATAAAGCTGCAAATGTAGGTATTGAAGTCCTAAACCTGAGCTGGAACCCCCTTCGTCTGGGTGGTGCTATGGCTGTTAGTGCAGGGCTAAAGGTGACCAGAACAACACACTCATAATGCATAGTGTATATATAACGCTCTGTTTCCTATCACAGACATTTCATTCACATTCTCCTCAGGTAAACTCGACTCTGAAGCAGCTCGATCTGTCGTGGAACGCTTTCGGCCAAATGGAGGCGGAGTCACTGGGTCAGGCCCTGAAGAACAACAGGACGCTTGTGCTGCTGGACCTCAGTGGTAACCATGTGGACGATCAGGCTGTGACACTTCTCTGCCAGGGTCTGATCACCAACGGCACCCTCGGGGTCCTCAAGGTGAGCATGCAAACAGGTGGATCACTGGTATTTATTATGCAGCATCATTGCACTCTAACTGTTAGGTTTGGTGTGTCTGTATTTTGTTAAGCTTTCACAAAACCCCCTGACGAATATCGGAGCTCTCACGCTGCTAAAAACTGTCAAAAACAACATGAAATCAGCCTTGGAGGAGATTGATATTTCTGTAAGTGCTGTACATTTCCTCTCAGAACATGAATAATAATATTTATCTTGTATTAAATGCCTTTAGAGCTTCTTCTAAGCTCTAACCGTGTTTGTGCAGACGGTGTTTGTGAATGAGGAGTTTGTGGAGCTGCTGGAAGAAGTCCGTCAGAAGCGTCCTGCTCTGGATGTGCGGCACAGCGCCATGAGCTACGTCACCAGGAACCTATCTGCTCTCCAGATCTTACGGGTCAGTGGTCAGGAAAGAAGAGAAATCTGGGGGAAAAATAGGTTAATAGTTATAACTAGGATTCCAGTGTTTATGCTCATAATGTTACACAAATAGCATCCTAAAAGAGGTCCCAGAGATATTTTCTTTAAATGTATAATCTTGAAACTTAATTTGGATTCTTAAATAGAAATTCCTATCAGAACGAAATGAGACCATTATGGATTTCTTTGAAGCTTTGGATAAAGAAGGAACAACCAGCATCTCCACCTCTGACTTCAGAAAGGCTGTGAAGGTCAGGCTTACTTTCTCACAGCAAACAATCTATCAAAGAAAAGTATTTAACTAGTATTCAGATATGAACTATTGTATGGAGGAGAATTGGAGAAAATAATGTTGTCATGCATGCAGGAAGCGAACATACCTCTGGATCAGCAGCAGCTCGAGTGGTTGCTCAGGAAGTTTGACAAGGACTGCACCTCCTCCATTATGTACAGGTCAGTCTGTGATGGTGTTAGTAGGAATATTTTGTATCTAATATTTACCATGCAGACATAAAAGGTATTATTTTATAGTCAAGAAGAAATAAGTAACCATTTTAAGAAAAGTAGTCCTATTTTACACAATTTTCATCTTTGTCATTAGGTCCAAACAAGCTGAAGTTTACAACATTTATTTGCCTGTGATTTAAACGTATATACATTTTAGACATCCCTCTTTTTTTTGTGGGAAAACAGGTTTCACTTATTAGTGTAAAACAGTTTGAATAATCAAACAGAATAATCTTAGCTCAAGCTTTGTCTAGGTTTGTCATGAAGGAGATTTTAATTGGTTTGAAATATCCCTTTGAGTGTATTTTTGGCAAGTAATCCTTCACTTTTAACTCTTTGTGAAGTCAGTGGTCTCTTTTTGTTGCAGTGAGTTTGCTGAGCTGTCGTAGAAACAGAGGATGAGGAAGAAAATCTGAAAATAAAATGTTACGGAGTCAGTTATTTATTAGGTCTTCCATTTTGCCATACAAGTCTCACAATGCTACATTTTTTTGCGAAAATATAGAGATAAGGAAGCGGAACTGACACACAACCAAGGACAGGTGTATCCTAACAACAACCCCCCCCCCTCTGTCCACCCGCTGTAGTCCTTAGCTCAACCCAGTTCTGCCCAGTGTGAATACTTGAACCGCTGACACCAACCAGCTGCACCCACCTGAGCGCTGCCAGCTGTGTCTGCGGTTGGGACACAGGGTCCTCCACCTCATTCTCTCCATCCAAAAATAATCTTCAGGTATGACAACAGAACATAGGAGGAAGAAAAAGAGCTGGCATCCATATCAAAGGACCGAGAGGAGAGAAAGAATAGAGCCAGATGGAAGCTAGTTGTCTCGCCCACAGTGGTAAGCTTTGAATGAAACAGCCTGTAAAGGAAACAGCACGTCGATGAATATGGATGTGCAGCATTACTTATTCAGGGCCGGCAGGCTAGGATTATTGAAGGTGAATTGTCTCAAGGTGTGATATCCGACAATCAGATCTGTCAGGTGGCTTCAGAGGTAACCACAGAGGAGACGCTGACAGGAAGCACCTCTTTATTAACTCATATGGAAAGGGCTTGACACCTAATATGATGGGTCATGAGAATACGGGACCACCCTTTTAAAATGTATATCCTATTTCAGATAGAGCTCCTAAGATGAATAAATGACATTTCAACTATTAAATCAGTCGCCAACTATTTTAAACCCCGATTAATTGGTTTGAGTAATTATTTAAGGAGTCAAAGATTTCTGATTCTAGCTTTTTAAATGTGAAAATTCAGTTTTTTTTCCACTCTTGATGATGGTAAACTATAGCTGTTGAGTTTTGGACCTGACAAGACTATAGGAACATTTTGACATTCTATAGACATGGTTTTCTTTAAATCCTAAACCAAATGCACCTCAACTCCCTCCATGTTTCTGTCTCCACTTCCTCTGCCGTGTCTCTTCTGTATACAATACAAATATATAATTATTAAGGCCTATAAACCTACCTTATTTGGATGAGCCTCTTGTCCCAGTGTAACTATAATGATCCTTCACCAATGCCATGGTGCATTCAAGTACATCACGATGGTCGTACTTCCAGAGGTTGGAAATGGTTCTTCCAACTTTGACGTGTTCAGTAAATTGATGTCGTAATGTAGAAATAACAGAAGCTACAAAGAAGATGGGTTTTTATCGCTCAGTGTTTAAAGGAGCTTTTTATCTCAGCTTCCTAATAGATTCAAATTATATTTAAAAAAAATAAGGTTTTGAACAGGCTACAATTATTTATATTATTTGTCAGTGACTACATTCACAGGGAACGCATACAGAATGATCTCTTACATGTGAAACAACAACAGGTTGTTAGTCTGAATTACTTTGTCCTTGAATACAAAGATTATTCATTTGACAAAATGTGTGAAGATGTTCCAATAAACGAAGAGCACTTCAAAGCCTTTTAAAGACTCTTAAATGATCGAGTACCCCCTGTAAAGTTTGTGTTTGAGAATCAACATGCAAATGGACAATCTTTCTTGTTAATAAAAGTCTCACCTTAATCTCAAAACACACTTTTACAATCGGACTAAAATACAATTATTTGTACAATGATATTGATATAATTAGCTATTTAAAAGATAGAAAAAATAACTGAATAATTTAGGTAAATAATCTCTCTGATGTGGCTTAATGAAAACAAACAGCTAGCTGCCAATTTCTAATGGGCCATCTTTCATGTGAATGGACACAAAGACTTAAAACCCACGTCTTATTGAGCGGTCCGATTGGAAATTCACAGATTTGGCCAAATTTTGAAGACGGAACAAAAACCTGCCAACAAACCCTTCAGATATCTATGCACCCACTGGCACACGCTGACAATTAGCATGATCTCGAAAGCGCTAATGGAATCTTGAGTGGTAATAAAAGTAAATAATTAAATTAGAGGAACCCTTGTGTCATTGTTTGCTGTATTCAGGCCCATTAGGACCTCCAGTATTCTCATGGTAATATAATGTGTGGGCTTTTTTGTGTCCTCATAATGAATTCAGTGTTTTTCCTCCAAACTGTGTTGTTCAGACATTTATGTAGGTGCTGGCAGAGAAACAAAGACGTACATTAGGACCCATTGTCCCCTTGTGATTATTAAAGTAAACAGAAATACTGAAGGGGTATCATACACAGCTGCACACACTCGAGCCTGTGTTTGTGAAGTGGGAGAAAGGGCCAAGCAACCCTTAAGACTTTGTCAGAGATGATCCCATTATTTGGAGCTTCTCAAGAGCCGAGCGGTTGGCGGGCTAATGAGGCTTTGAAGATCGCTCTTCGCCACAGCATTCATGCGCAGGAACAAAATGGATTTGGCACGAGATAAAATGCTTCGAGCCAAGATCGGCCATGAAGACGTTTCCTGCCTCAGCCCCTGGCTTTTATTTTGCCATCGTGAGTCCTTTTTAAAAATACACTAAGTCCATTCTTAGAAGATGAAACTGAAGGTAAAATGTGCCGTCAACAAATTCTCTGCTGCTATACAAATTCAGAAAAGCCGAACACAAGTACCCAGAGCTCAATGATATTTGTGTCCATTGTTTTGTGCTAAAAACTATTTTAAAGCCAAAAGACTTACAATCATATAAAACAAACTACTGTAGGAAAAATTCCGATTCTAGAGCCTGTGACTCGAAAACATTAAACCAAATGTCAAAGTTGTTGTAAACTAATGGATAATTTAGTTAATGAGGGATCGTTTAGCGTCTTGAAAATCATTATGAACAATGTTATTAGTTGTAAAAGTAAATGTAGAAAGACACATTTCAGTACATAAAACTCTTGAGATGTTTAATGTTTAAAACTGTTTCTTTAAATAGATACAAGTATTTTATATATAGGATAGCATAATGAAAACCTCGTCCAATATTCAAGCTCAACATAAAAACCTGCTGTCAAATTGTGCGTTTTGAACATTTCTCCAAACATATTGCCCAAAAAGAAACAATATACTGTAAAAAAACATAGTGTTTGGTTTTTGTTTGTACGGTTGAACAGTGAGACACTGTTTTACTAAAAGCTTGTAACAGTTTGATCAACATGTTTAGACTTACATGGACAAAGGATCTGCAATGCAGGTGTAAATAAAAAGTATGGATGAATATGTGAAGCAGGAATATAACAGGAGTCGCCTCCAGACATGGTGCGGGTATACACGCCATTTATCCAAAAAAACCTGGTTTCCTGGTTGCGGATTTGTTAATCAAGGCTGTCGGTAGTTACAGTTACAAGCCGGAAACCAAGGAATTCTCTCAATCCTTTGTTAACATTAAAAGACATCTTGAACTCATTTGAATGAGCTCCGCTTTGCCCGGCTGTGGGAAAAGTGGCTCAGGAGCTCCAACTAACGAGAAGGGGAGAAAGCCATGAAGGTTATTGTTGCCAGGAGAAGCCATTTTGTTTCATGATTTCACAAATGTGTTCATCTACTGCTTCATTATGTCCATCTGAAGAGCACATGGGTATCATAACACACCCGTATCTTAAACATCTTAAGCATGCATTTGCCAATCTTAGTCCTGAGACGTTTAACAGTAGTGTGACATGTCTCTCAAATTTAGCAAAACTGTAACCAATTCAAGATGCTCTGTTGATCTAGCCAAAACCCATTTTAAGTGTATTCTCTAAAGATAAAACCATATATCTTAGCTCCGTTTGGAGTTTAAACACTACTTCAATATCCTCCAGCATTCTGAACAAATAAAGGGACAACCAAAGTCGTTTAGGCAATTTTGTACGATTTGTGCGTGTTCTGTGAGGTGGAGTTCATGTTATGCAGCTTTAAATGAGAGTAATGTGGCTGTAGAAACATCACATGTCCAGAAGCAGCACTCGTGGGTCTTCCACCACTGCTTTGATCTTGCGGAGGAAAGTCACCGCTTCTCTGCCGTCGACCAGTCGGTGGTCGTATGTCAGAGCCACGTACATCATGGGGCGGATCTCCACCTGCCAGAGCAGAAAGAGGTTTATTACTTATGGTTGAGTTTACTGTGACACTATTGCTAACCAAGTAGGTCACTCTTTTTTTAGTGATACTTTTACAGCAAGACGTTACTGTAGGGCTTTGCAGAATGTCATTTTTTTTACATTTTAAGCTTCTATTGAGGTTTTCAAACAAAGCTTAAAATGCCGGTCTCCATATTTGATGATGTCATTACCCTAAAACTAATGATTTGTCTTTGTTGTGGTTATATTAATAAGATGCATGGTGCTGTTTGATTAGCAAACTGTTGTCTCCGAGGCAAAATAACAACATATTGATTGAAGCTTGATAGGTGTTCAGATAAAAACACATTGTGAAATGTAGGAATAATTACATATATCTTTTTCTTAATAATTTGCAAATGCTGACGCTCTGGAATTATTGGAAATATTTGAATCACACAAGTCAGAATTAATCCGACTAATCTGGAATCTAATTCTACAAACAGAAAAATACTAGTTATGTTAGTGTTGACTGCATTTTCTCTAGAACTCTGCAATAATACAGGGTTTAAACCTAATGATAATAACAAAACAGCTCAGAAATCAAATATTGATTCAAAATAAGAATGTTAACATTATGTACGAGAGGCTTTGAACTATTTGGTACTGCTCTACATAATAATCTGCGTCTACAGACACACAGCTCCCACCTTGCCGTTGATGGCCACAGGACGGTCGAAGATGCCATGCATGCCGAGGATGGCAGACTGGGGGGGGTTGATGATGGGCGTGCCAAACATGGAGCCAAACACGCCGCCGTTGCTGATGGTGAAGGTGCCTCCGTCCATATCTTCAACAGCTAGCTGATTGCCACGGGCCTAAAGCACACAACAACAAATCAATTTCACATTTTTTCTAATACATTTAAAAAGATATTGGTTTAAATCCAAATAGCATAGCATTTTAAAATGACATTTCTATTGCATAAAGATGTGTACCTTTTCTCCCAATGCATTAATGGCTTTCTCAATGTCAGCAAAGTTCATGGTCTCAACATTACGGATCACCGGTACAACGAGCCCCTAAACAAACACATGTTAGTCAGGTGTATGAAGCATTGAGAGGCTTTCACAGCTGCAATTTAAAAAGATTATATATTTTTTTTTATCCAAAAGTACCTTTGGAGTTGACACAGCGACACTGATGTCTACGTACTCCCTGTAGACGATCTCTTTGGTTGAATCATCGATAACTGGTGAAGCATATAAGGATGCAAGTAAGAAAAAATAAATAGACACATTTAAAGTAAACATTTAAAGCGGAAGAAGAACATGGTCTCACCGGCGTTGACGGCAGGCTGGTCGGTCAGAGCGTGAGCAGCAGCCTTCACAAAGGCCGACATGAAACCCAGCTTGATGTTGTGCTTCTTCAAGAAAGCATCCTTATGGAGTTTCCTCATGTCCTGGATGTTGCTGAAGCAAAATGAAGGAAGTATTATTAAGGAGTGTGTTCAGTAGGAAAACCTCCTGAACCATTGGCATTTGTCGATTGAACTGTATAAACTATAAAGACAGATAGAATCAATATTTCCAGCTGCAGCTCACCTCATGTCCACCTCGTTGAAGGTGGTCAACATGGCGCAGGTTTCCTGGGCCTCCTTTAACCTCTGGGCGATCCTCAACCTCATGCGGTTCATCTTCACCTGTAGAGAAAGAGAAAATACATAATTAATTCCTATCCAAACATCAAAACAAACTAACATCAGGAGAGTTTCATGTGTGTTACCCTGTTTTCTCCTCTGCCCCCTAATGTTGGAAGAGGGGGGGCGGGAGCTGCAACTGTGGGCTTGATGGCAGAAACTTGATAAAGAAGGAAAGACAGAATGATATGTTAACAGTTTGCTAGTGGCGTGATCAGCCAGTGTTTATAAAATACAATGCTTTCTGCAGTATGTGGATTTAGATGCTACAGAAGGAAACTCACTAGGTTTGGCTTGGGCAGCCTGCGGTGGCACTGGAGGCATGGCAATGAGGGCTGGAGGTGGTGGGGGGGGAGGGGCTGCAGCTGGGGCCTCTGCAGCCGGGGCGGGGGCAGCTTTGGCAGCAACGACTGGGGAGACAGAAGTAAATAAGGACAAATGTAGTATGGGCCTCATGATGACGTAGTATCATAATCATTTTTATTTTGTATTCATTTCTCATTTTAAATTTGTATCTTTGATTTTATTAATCTGTGCTGTCCTGTTTTTCATCCTTACCCTGTTGCTGTTTGAACTACTGAATACCTCACGGGGATTAATAATAGGTCCATCTTATCTTAGTACACTTTGGCTCAATATGCGTCATAATTCAATACAATCAGCAGATTCAAAGCAACACCTGGAATGCTACAGCAGTCAATACATAAAAGTACGGCACAGTGGGAAATGTAGAGGTCTGCTCAGCTGGAAGTAATACATAGTACCAAGAATAGAAAAATGGCTAGATGTTTCAAAAACGTTAACTGATTGCGATAATTGTAAACTGTGTATTATTAAGGGAAAGTAAAGCATTAGTGTGAAGTTTCAATTGCACAGTAAAGTATCAAAAACGTGGTGTTTCATTACTGAAACTCGAGCGTATTAAAAGTGTTTTGTACAGGTTTGTTTAGTGATGATAACTACGCGTACCTCCTTTCCGGAGTTTGAAGAGCGGCATCCCTGATTCTACTTTCTCTCCATCAGGCACCAGCAGCTCCTCGATGACACCAGATGCTGGAGCGGGGACTTGTACTGAGGTCTGGAAGTGTGAAAGACATTTTTAGTAAATAATTGTCATACTCTGTTCGAAGGAAACATTCATTAAAAGGTCATAGCAATGAATTAACAGTTGATAGTCTTTCTTGTTCATACCTTGTCTGTCTCAATTTCACACACCACTTCATCTTCTGACACCGAGTCGCCCACAGCTAAAGCACAAACAATAAAAGATGATTTATTCCATGTTCAAATATATGGCTATTTGGGACACTTTGAAATTCTGATATGTTGAGGAATACTAACCTTTCTCCCACCTCACGTCCCCCTCTGTAACAGATTCTGCAAACGCAGGAGTGTTGACTGTGACCACCTCATCCCCTGTACAGAAACAAAACAGGAGTTGCTATAAATTAAACACAGAGCATGGTTGTCTTCATTACATGATGTTGTTGCAACACGTACTGTGGACAGCAGACGTCCTGAAGTATCTCATGTGGAAGACATTCCCTGATGATGGAAATTCACATCTAAACGTTGAGAAAATCACGGTTACTTTTTAATTCTGGACAAACTATATGATTGTGTTAAAACAGACACACACAGCATACTGATCAACACAAAGCCTTCCTAATTAATCTACATTTACTCTACACCACATTTAAAATCCATTTTAACATACTGTTATGCATTACTAAATAGACAGATGTAATAGAGACCGTGCTGAAGAGTTTTCAAACATGCAGTAGTGGTTACGGAGAGGCATTCAAAGACAGACAACAGAATGGGAGAGAGCACTTACGGCTGTGAGTTCCTGTAAACTACCTGGCTGCAGACAGGTAGGCCTTCAGAGGGAAAAAGAAAAGAGAAAGTAAATCAACCAGTGCTTCTCCTGAGGCTCCAACACAGATGTGAGTTCTCCGAGCGCTCGAATGAACCATTTGTGGGTTTAAGGCATCTTACTCACTCAACAAGCATCACTTACTCTGCTTTGGGTAATCCACTCAGAGTAGTTTATTCAAGAGCAATACAATTTGGAGTGTGGTTACTGATAAGGTTCTTAAAGGTCTAGTATACTCTCAGAGGCACACTTACCTGATACACTTTGTCGGACCAGCACATTATTGGCCTAAAAAAAAAGAAAAGGAAAACAGTAAAAATCTGTTTCATATGCATTATATTATACCTGCAGCTTTTTAAATCCCATTAGTGTGATTATGATTAGTGGCCCTCCCCATTCTGAACCTGTATTTAGCTTAAAGTAAGCTTTAAAAACAATAGATGACTTTCCCCATAAATCTTACACAGAGGTTAAAGAGTTATTGAGCCTACTTAAACTGCTGCAGCTACAAGCTTATGTAAACTGGAAGTTTCCCACATACATTTCCCGGTAAACTCCAAAGTGCTTGATCTTTGAGTTAAACATCTGGACTTTTCAATGGTGGCTGAGATGTTGACTGCGCCACATTGCTTACTGTATGACTCATGTTTGTGGTTTTTTTGAGGGCAGAGCCTCTTGTGAAAGAAGCCTGCCTAGTTCTGGCTTCTTCACTGATGTCTATCTGGTGGAGTTGTTTGTTACTTAATGCCAACCCTACAGATGTAGGGTGCCGGAGCTGGGTGGAGTTGTCAGAAATGTCATATTTACACTAGGTCAAAGCTTGTGCCGGCATGCACATTGTTTTTAGAGTTTTAACTTCTCTGACTCACTAGAACAACTGGTGCTGAAAATGTAACCAATCAAAACGCCTAGTGTACAACATTACACTGGCCGATATACAACAAACATATAGGTTAAATCATTCATATTGTCAATCTCTTCTATTTGAGTTTTTCTCCTCCAAAACTCCAGGATTATTTAAAAAAGGATAGATTTCAAACGTTATTACAGAAGCACATATGCGAAGTTAATTAAGGCACTATAACAGAACCACCCTGCAATAAATAGAACTTTAAATACATATTTCCCAGTATATCAAGAGCAAAAACTATTTTCGATTCAATATTTCAAGATCTGATCTATCAATTGAAAGACAAGGTCCTGAGGTCCTGCAGGACATTCATTGATTTAATATTCTAAACCAAAACTGAACGATAATGAACAAATAATTAGTTGCAGCCTTAACCTTGACTTTTTTAAATGTTTTATTAAATGAATACCCTGCAATAAATCCTGCCTCCATGAAGGTTATTATGTTCAGATTCTTTACTGTAAGTGTGTGTGAAAGTTAGCTGATATCAATTGGGTGGACAAATGTATATCAACACCTCAGTATGAGACAATAAAACTCACAAACACTCAGGGTTGCAAAATTCCGGGAATTTTCAAAGATGGAAACTTACCACGGGAATTAACGGGAATTTATGGGAATAAACTGGGAGTTTTCTAAATTGAAGATTGGCTCTTCATAGGGAACTTAAATATAGTTGGGGAAAGTATATTTTAGCATAATCTTGACTAAAACAAACAGATGCCATTCAAGTACACTTGAATATCCATGCCATAGCACACTGCTTACTGCATGGCTATTGAGACCACACAAAGGTTCGCAACAGGCTCACAAATGTGAGAGTGGAAACACTGGTTGGCATTCGGGCAAACCTAGGCTCTTTGAGCCGGACACAGAGCCATCCTCAACAAGGCTGGACAGTGACACTGAAGAGGAAGAGGAAGAGTTGGATGTTGATGAGGCCCAGGAAGAGACAATTGACTGAAAGGGTTTAGCAAAAATGCAGATGATTGCTTGAAGGAAGATTTGCATGTTTAATTCGACTTTTTGGAGGGAGAAGGGCTCTTTTCATTTAACATTTTGAATGGGACTTTGTGGGGATTTTTGGATGGGGGGTGCATTTTTGTTCACTTTTAACGAGTGGGGTTGGGGGGATGAGTAATATTTAACTCAACATTCCTGTTTTCGTTCTTCAATGAAACAAATTGTTCAATAAAATAATTAAAACTTGTTCTGTTCCAACTACTTAAAAAAAAAAGAAGAAATCTGTTGAAATGTCAGGTTTTTTGTTTAATTTTGCATTCCCCAGCTTAACTTCCCATGAAACTTTCCGGGAATGTACCGGAAATTTCCCGCCCCTTTGCAACCCTACAAACACCACTATCTTATCATTTTAAAACAAACAGTCGGCCTTAGTCCACTGTAAACACTAGCACAAGTCTCCTTGAACTATGGAGAACTACACTTCTTAACCCTGACAAGACACACAAGCTGTTCTCCTAGTGGTCATGTTTCAGTTCAATACCTGCTCAAAGCAATGGAAAGACAGCTGAAGCTTGTGAGGGCAGAGCCAAGCAGCACATAGGCTATATGTCTAACTTGACATGGGCTATTTCGATCAGGTCAGCTGAGACATACACCTCAGTCTTACAAACACAGGACACCACAACATGCTAACATTAGCCTGTCATGAGGGCTTAATTAGTAAGCCAGGTATTGAAACAAAATAACATAGTTGACAGCGACATTAAATACATATATTGTTTTAATAGTCAGATATAGATACTGTTCTCTTCAAAGGTAACTTCCCTAGCCTCCTCTAAAGCTGTCAGTGTGTGTCTGCCCTTGGTAGGTGAGGCCTCTTCACAAGCTAACGTCTGTTGAATGCTAACGGTAGCTAACAGCTAGGTGTGTCTTGTTTTATTCAAGTTTTTATCGTTCCAGAGTTATTCCACAGAATCAGTTCAGTGTTTCTTTCCAACATACCTGGCTGACCGCTGACAGGGAGCGACCAAGCGTCCTGTAAGCACATCTGGATCGTGATAACATAGCGCTAGCTTGCAGCTGTGTTCCTTGTTATCTGACAGCAGTTGAAGAAGCGGTGCGGAAGCTCCGAGTGGGATGAACCATTGCGGTTAGAAGGGGAGGGGTGTGTGAAGGACTGGGATGTGTTAAACCCATAGGTTAAACCCTTTATATGTACAGCCTATGGTTAAACCAAAGCCTGTGGCTCGTCAGATTCCGCAACTCAAACAGCAATTACAGTTGTTTTATGTTTTATCCGTTTTTATCATGCATTGTTACATACCTTAATATGATTGCCATTACCAAAGCTGGTGCTCTGTAGAATTTAGACAGTCCAAAATATTGATAGCTGTACGAAAAGGGTTTGTGGAATTGGGCTACTCAATACACAAATCAAATATATAAAGTGTTGTCAATGTTTAATGTTATCTGAAAACTGTTAGGAAGATGCTATAAAAAAAGAAGTATGGTAAAACATGTTGCAGAAGCAGTGTAGCTGAAGATCATGCAAAACACCTACTGAATAACAACTAAAATCTGACAAACATCATAAAAAGGACAAAATAAAAGTATTTTTTAGATGGTAAAACATTCATGTACCAATACCTGCACAACAACAGAAAAAGGGCAAGGAAATATATACAGTGGGTTGTCTTCAGTTCACATCAATCTAATTATGTGCAGGGTGGCATATTTGGCCACACCTCCTGTTTTTTGGAGGGTCTTTCAGCTGGACCGCTACAAATAGTCACTCCTGCAACAGAAAGCTCCAGATCTGCAGCCTTCTGGGGTCTTTTTCTACAGGCAACAGGTGGGTTTCATAATACTGTGTATGTGCTCTTTATTTTTCTAATGTTTACATTTGAGTTTTTACTATTTCTTTACTGTCATATAAAACTAGAATGTGATATACTTTCTACATTTTTGAATCAAGTCTGAAATAAATTAAGTTAAATTGAAATGTGCCAAAAAGTAGCCAATATAGCAGATTTAATTTTTACAAGATCCATTATTGTTGTGTTACGTCTTAAAGTTGAAAAGTATTTCAGTTCACTTGAATGACATTTTATTAGGAATTTCTCACCACACCTGCATCAGTAATTAATTATGTTTTTCCATAACAGTGCTGTCTTTTTAAAACCCTATAAGGCATGAATCCAAGTGTTTGGAGCGAAGGTATGTATTCTTCTAGCAGCATTTGCCTTGACGGCTTTCACGCAGAGCATCTCTCGTCTTTTAAACTGGACCCTGTGCTATCAAATGTAGATGTGTCAGCCTTTTCTGTGTCATTACACAAAAACAGCGAGGACAGAAAAATGCTATCGGAGAGTGCCTATTACAGAAGTGGGGATGCTGGTTCAAGTTTGATGAATCCATCCAAAGACAGCACGACTGGACATTCACCCATAAGAAGGCACCCATTTCCTGCATCCAGTTCCTGTGGTCATGATGAGTGGAACTTAAACAGTGGCCATCAAGCAAAGCGTGCCAGAGTAGAAAATATCATCAAAGGCATGACCAGCTCTCCAGGTATGCACTGCACCAATGTGACCAGAAACCAATGCGTGAAGTCAGACGGCATGCAGGAAAAGGAAACGATACATGAGCAGGACTACGTGGAAACGAGTGGATTTGGCAGCCAGAGAGCAGGAAAGCAGCCAGAGAATCAGCATCTCAGAGCAAGGTTGGACCGTGTGGACGAAGTAATCGACACAAAAGACGAGGACGAATCTCCTGAAACATCTCCAAGGGACGCATTCACAGATTCATACAGTGAGTTTCAGACCAGCTCAAGTAGAGAATATCAAGGACGGAAGTCGGTGATGAGCTACTTCCAATCCCAACCCGAGAGAATAAAGCTGATGGCAGAGGTTTTAAAATACGAGCTGTCCAGAGCTGTCAGTAGGAGCGTTGACTCTATTTTCAAAAGCATGCCACTTATACAAACAAACATTGAGGGGAATGCAGAGACAGATATACGTCTTCAGTCATCAGTTGGTGGAGATGAATCAGGACTAACCTGTTGTGGAAATGCAGAGGTGCAAGTCCCAGATGTTCAAACCGAAGCTCTGTCTCTGGTCGTACAAAAGCCTCGACTGGAAAACAAGTTTGTCCTTCACCATCGTCCACAACCTCCAATCCTGTTCGGGAATCATGACTCTGAAGATCAGCCGTCAGAGAGGAATCACGAAGCCGTCCGTCAACATGCTCTCAGGTGCACTCAGGATGCATGCTCCAGAGTTGGTCCGGCAAAGTTTGACACCCTTCGGAATTCAATCAAAGTGAGGTTGAAGGTCAACTCCAGGTCTGTGAGAAGCCCACAGACTCACACTGTGTCTGTGGACCCCACGCTGATGGAAAGCCCTGGTCTCCCTCATGTCAATATAGAGTCCGACTGCCTAGTGAAGACCAACCTGTACATGCTGAATGTATCCTTTACAATGGAGTCATACTTTTGATATTTTATTCAGTTTTCTTGTGAGTTTAAGACTCAATCAGAACGTTTTACTCTCTCCTTGTATACACTTCTTAATCAGCTGTCTTTACATACCAGAAATATTTCTTCATTGGCTTATTAGAGTTCCAAATCACAACCTGTGATGGTATTCTTTCTTCTTGCTTAAAGTACTTTTCATCTTTTAGAATCCAACAAGTTATCACTTTGATCTTTCAAATTTTAAACAACATTTCCAGTTGTCTTTCTATTTTCCCCAAGTTGTAACGATTTAATGGAGGGCCAGTCCAATCATGTTTAGGGTGTGTGTGTTTACCCTTAACACTGGTGCATACAGGAGGGTCTGACCACAAATCATCTGAAGAAAGCAAAGCTCATGTTCTTCTTCACGCGCTACCCGAGTTCCCTGGTGCTAAAGATGTGTTTCCATGATGTGCAGGTAAGAAATATGAATCACAAGTGCAATTCTTCCACATGTGTGATTTTAATAGATACTTTTACAAAACATGACTTAATTTTACTATAAGGATTACAGATTCTTAAACATTTTGGGAAAGTCACCTTGTTTTGCTTCTAACTGGACATATTTTTTGCTGATTCTGAGAAAAAATATAACATTTAAACAGTCTGAAAATGTTGGTTTTTGAACCTGCGACTTGTTTTGATGATCCCAAACCAGTTTGATTCCTCAATAGTGCATCTCTGTCACCACATAATAAATAATCAGTCCCAGACAAGAAAATACAATTTGTTTTTTATTTGTCAACAACATCAATAACATCAAGCAATCAGATCAGGATTATAAACACATCACTATTGCAATTCTGTAAAAACTGTAAAAATGGTATCCATGTGGTAAAATACTTTTATTAACATTTATTCATGTTTTATTTGCTTTATATTATTAATACAGTAAATAATGATTATCACCTTCTCTCTCACATAGAAACAAATTATTTATAATATATTAAATTACCCACTTCATTTCACTCACCCGTCCCTGTGTTTTTCCCTCAGTTCTCGCGCTGCATCACCTCTCAGCTCATCAAGTGGTTCAGTAACTTCAGGGAGTTTTTCTACATCCAGATGGAGAAGTTTGCCCGTCACGCTCTCATCGAAGGAGTCTCCGACGTGCGGGGTCTGACTGTGGAGAGACAATCAGAACTTTTCAGAGCTCTCAACATGCACTACAACAAAGCCAACGACTTCCAGGTAAACTGCTGCTACACTGAATGTCTTACTGCTCTGAGAGTATTACATAGTGGTCATATTTGCTTCATTGATTTGTCACTCAGTTATTTGTGTTTGTGTTGCTTTGGGAGCTTCCAGGGGGATCATGTCATTGTCTTATTTTTGTACAGTCCAACACATGATTTACTTTTATTAGATGTGTGTGTGTGTGTGTTGTATTGTTTCAAAGCATCATTTTCTTATGTCTGCTCAATGCATCTCCATATTTATAACTTGCATAAATTACAGTTCCTCTTCAAGATTAACTAAATAGAAGTGTTCTTTTATTTGTTTACGTTATAGTATACAGACTTAGTAAATAGTAATGATGTAAAATACACACATTTAATTATTTTCATTCATTCTTGCTTTTTACTGAAAGTATAGAAAGAAGGTGACTTTATTTTAGCCAGAGCTACTGCATTATTATTTTCAACATGAGGAATAAACCACAGAAATATATTTTTTGGGTAGCGAAGCCACTCTCTCAACATTCAAATGTAATCACATTACAACAGCAAAACTACTAACAGACACACCAAATACATAGATAGTTATACTATGATAAAGTAAACACTAGGCAGAAATAGTTATTTAATATTCAAGATCACATGCTGCAAAGAATTGTGGGACTCCAAGTATATTTTGTCGTATTTAGTATATTGTCCTAATTTCTATTATAGCACAGTTAATGTTCACAGACGGTCACATATTTAACATAAAGCAACATAGCTTCAATATTATAGTACAAATATTATACAAATATATTACAGCAGCAGTGAGAATGATAGAGTGATAGGAAATTAGTTTTAGAAGTAATTTACTTATATTTATTTCACAAGAGTGAATGCTATGATAATGAACACAGCTGATTAATACACATAATAATAGCTGCCTGGAGTAGCATGCTGTGAAGTACATGTCAAAATAGTTTGTGTAACTTTTTACTTTAAGTTTAAATATAAACACATTGTTGTTTTGGAGATTTTAAGTCATTTAGTTTGTTCCATTTGTGTTCAGTATAACATTTACCACTTTAAGAGTTATTTCACACTGTGGTTGATGTGCCATCAAAATGTTGACTTGTCATTATATTACTTTTTTGGTGTATAGGAATTATAAATCCATGCACATTATTATATAAAATAAAAATATTTGTGATGTTGAATTAAATATGAAATTTCCCATGCATTAATGTGTTATAAGAAAAACCTTACTGCACATTTAGGAATATATACTTTAAAACGGCTATGAAATACGAATTCAAATAAGGTTTTTGGAGCCAGATAAGTCGTTAAAAAAAATAGATTAATAAATTAACATTATTTATTATTATTCTAATGTTTTACATTTTCTTTAAAGTGACTTAAATCACCAAGCTCCACAAAAGAAGGACGAACAGCCTCCTGCTCTGTACTGTTATAGGTGCATAACGCTCAGAACATCTTAAGTTAAATATATTATATTAAATATTTAAGATGTGTTAATTATAATTAAGATTTTTGTTGGATAAAATTGACGTTGACATTTCCAAGTATTTTTTACACGACTTAAAATTAGTGAAAAAGGACCAGTGTAATGGAAATAATCTGAAAACATTCATCTTGAAGTGTCAAAGATTAGAGAAAATACTACAAAGGACAACAAAACATGCTAAACATAACCACCTTATAGTTTCTAGGTTTGTTTTCTGATGAGTGACAGACTCTCAACCTTCCCTCCTTGAGTCTTCTCATGAAACACAATTAAGATGTTAATGTTCTTCAGTTTCTCCCAATATTTGTTCAGCGTTATAATCACAATTATTTGATATCCTTTTTATTGTCTGACTGTTTGGTCTCAGGTCAGACAGATTACACACATGGACAACCAGCAGTGATGTTGGGTGTGGGCACTGAAATCAAATGTGCATGTTAGACGGAATGAAAGCAGAGACTGTCTTTTTGAATTTATCAGCTTGACTCCGCACAATTTAAAGAGTAAATGCTCTTTTTAGAGTTGGACCTCAACTGTTTTTTTAATGAATCACACACTGGCACTGTACTGCAAAAGCAACAACATGCACACATAAACAGTAAACACTGACATCTCATGACCATAGACGCAAACCTTTCTCAGGCCTCATTTTGAGTTGAAGGTTAACTGTTAAGGGCCTGGCCAAACAGTCTGTGTGTACAATGGATTTTCAAAACATAATAGGGTCCATCCTCTGGGGAGCACAAATGTGCTCACAAGATGTCATGGTAGATTTACTCTACGCTCTGATGTATGTACAAGTAGGCATTTTGATCAAATGGTGGTGAGGAAAAAGCTGAAAATAACCTGTACACCAAAGTATTTGTTTGTTTTTTTAAGTTACAATCTTGAATATTTCCATGTTGCTCTCCTTGGCGGCACCAATGAGTGATAATTGCATGTGTTTTGGATCAAACTATATCAAAAAGGCCACTGGTGTTTTTCCTGTCAATTTCGCCACATACACCAAACCTGTAGTACTGCAAAGGCTCATCTTTGGGCCATAGCCTCAAGATCCAGTGTGTTACCTCATTTTGCTAAACATTTGACAACAGACAATTATTTAATTGAAAAACATCATCCTTTTGACTTGATTGGCAATTTCATATTTTCAGAGTTAGCATTCGTCATAAAAAAATATGATCAACTGAATCCATTCTTTGGTTACTGTGGTAGAGAGTTTATTGATAATTTGAACTGGTTGAATATTGTTATAAATAACCGTACTTGCTTTGCGGTGTTCAGACTGGTTACTTACCTTATGTTTTTCCAGGCATCATAACGATTCTGTAAAATATAAACAGTATGTGTGCAAACGTTTTTGACATTTTCAATCTTCTACTGTGACACCACAGGTCCCTGACAGTTTCCTGGAGGTTGCAGAGATTACATTAAGAGAATTTTACATTTCCATTTCAATGGGCAAAGACCGTGATCCCTCGTGGAAGAAAGCGATCTACAAGGTGATCTGTAAACTGGACAGTGACGTACCAGCTCAATTCAAAAGTCATCACTCTGCATGACAACCAATCAGAAGACATCATGTGCCGCAGTGGCTACTGTCACCATGTGTACTTACTCGCCTTGATTAGCAAAGTACTTAGTTTTTAATAAAGAACCTGCTGTATTTTACAATTGAGTTATGTACATGCTTGCACATATCCAGTCTCCACACATACAGCAGACTGATTTAGGCTTCTATGGCTGTTTTTTTTCATGAGGTCATTTGATATTATTAGTATTTTGCTATATCAACCTTATTGTATAGCAATAACACATAATAACAATTTTATCTGTGAAATGTGAGCAACAGAAGAACACATTTTTAGAGGCATTGTTCTTTAATAAGGACAAAAAAAGGTCCACACAACACAAGTGAAAAAAGACATTTATTTTACAGCAGAGCTTTGTCAAAATATTTGTATGTACGGAATATATTAATAAGATTACATTTCAAACATTTTTAAATTGGTAATTTTCAAAATAACAGTGTTTCGGTCTTTCTTCCATACTCACTATGAATACCCATCCACTTTGCAGATGATACACTGAGGCTGGATGTCCGCAGGAAAATCAAACATGGTCTTCATCAGCGGTGCTGTGTGTTCGGTAATTTTCGATGATCCATTTTTTGTCTTCAGTCCAAATACAAAATTCTCAGCAGGTAAAATTGTAGGCCATTTGCTTCACAAGTTTAACGTTTGTAAATATAAAAAGTATATTAAAAGCGGAATTCAATTGCTTACATATTAACCATGATAATCTCAATAAACTCAGTGAGACTGAAATTGGGCACTAAATACGAACAAGCAGTTTGAACATAGGCATTCGAAATAACGTCTTTGAATTATTTCCCAGGTCACCTATTATGCACAAATTAAGTGTCCCCTCTATGAAAGAGATTCGGAAAGATTCAGGAATAAATATTCTCTCTCTTTTTGTCCTGATCCATTTACCGTAATTTTCGGACTATAAGCCGCACCTGAATATAAGCCGCAGCAGCGGCATACCACTCTCGGTTCCACTTTTACTTTTGCGCGCTACCTGTCTCACTCTTTTCCGGCCTCCAGCTTTTCCTGCTGGAACCCGCCGCTTAAAGGTGGGGGTCCGCGGACCGGCCATAGAGCTCATAGAGTTAAAGGTGTTGGCCGTTAGCTGTAAAAATCCATAGATTAGCCGCACCGTTATATAAGCCGCAGCGTCGAAAAATAGGGAAAAAGGCGCGGCTTATAGTCCGAAAATTACGGTATATAAAAACCTGTCTGAAAATGTGCTGATCAGATTTTGGCCACTTAGTAATGTCACAATGTTTGTATGGGTTGTGCAACCATTAGCTATCATTAATAATCAGCTGAATGTGGTACAGGTAACATTGTTGTATCTTTACTCTCGATGTAAAAATGGGGTTTAAAGTCTAAAAAAATAGAATTAAGACAAACAAATAAAATACTATTCTAGTCGTGAAAAGTCACTGTGGGCTCAACTTGTCATTGCAGTAACCAGGGTTTAAACACTTGATTCACAATATTCCCAACTTCCCGTAGTTTATCAGGACAAATTGTGGTTCTATGGAAATTGAGAGTTGTTGACAACATTGAGGTTCTCCAATATCATTTACTGTTATGGTCACAGGTTAGAAAACACCCTTTTCAATCCCGCAATCTTACATTTTCATTACACTTTATTTTGTGATACTTGCCGTTCAAGCTCAAGTGAAGTTCAAGTTAGGCTAACTCTAGCCTAGACAATACTAGCCTAGACAATGCAAGTACATAGAACTGTATTGATTTACAAAATACACACAGTACCATTAAGGGACTGAGAGGCAACCCACAAAGGTATAAAACTGTTGAATGTAGTTCTTTACTCTTTCCTTTGTTCTCCTCACTTAACCATGCACACTGAGAAACATAACAGTACTTCTTTAAAAAAACAAAACAGGGTCAATGTGTAATATCTGGCCACATACAAAAAACAAAAAAATAGGGGCAGCAATTAATCTCTAATACTTGGTTCATATAACCTAAATGTAGTCATAAGTTATTAAAACGACCCGATGGTACGAAATGTGCCATTTTTGGCTACTTTCAATTTAATCCAATTCGCGAACTGTTAAAAAGTCACATGGATCCTTTACCTTTAATGTTATTGACGAGTCATTCTGGACTCTTGGTTCTTCATCATCTAAAGTTGGACCGAGGGCAGACAGACGCTACATCGACTCACTATCGCCTGCTGAAGTACAAGAGGTGTTACGGTAAAAGACTGTCTGAGACGAGCTGGTTAGCATGCTCACTTCAGTATATATCTCTGCAACACAACACACGTAGATTTTGACATAATATCAAAAGTGTCATGTTAAGTTAAAGTCAAAGTTCTAAATAAATAAAAATCTGGCCATATCTTACACATTGCCACATTAAAATGTCACAGGAGGGAAAGAGGTGAAGTCAGAGTGATGCAAACAATACTTCTTCCGCCCCAATGATGAATCTCCAGGACATTCGGACAGTTGTTCATCGAACCCTTACGCAAGAAAGACTCTCCAGGATGGTAATTTTGTGAACGTTTATTGTGTTTTTTCAAGAACTCATGGACCAAAAAACACGGCTACAGTACAGAAAGCATGAAGAGTATAAAACAGTTACATAACTGAATACAGACCATGACCAGAAGATGCACGGTTACAAACTACAAATTGAACAGCAAATAAGCAGTGTCTCTTTAAAAATAATGGAAAAAGACCTGTATCCTTATCGAACAAATAACTAATAATCTGATAACAATCGGTGATCTTGCCACCTGGATGAGTCTCTTGTTCCACTACAAGCGAGCTTCAGTATTTTCACATTCTTGAAACCTTCAGAAAGAAAAATAAATGATTGATTACTTGGTTAAAGACAAACTTATTATTGATCAAGTTAAACTTTTAGAAGTGAAAACTTTGATAATTCCCTGCCATAAAATGTAACTTTTATAAATTCGGAAATACTGAAGAACAATCCCTTTATGCAGAATTAAGTAACAACTGTATTTGTATCATTACACAGGTTCTTTACAAGTGAAAATATATGCCCGCCATCAAACCTATTGAGGGTTTTTTCAGTTATTCATAGCATTTGATTCCCTATTATCTGCGCTTAAGGTCGGAGACGTAAGACAAGCCTTTTTGAAGAATTGGCTTCCTGATCAAAAATGAAATCGCATTTAAAAAACATTTCATTTGTAAAGTCCATTTAAAATTGAAGGTATGTAATAAGAAAAGGCAAAACATGTCGCCATTAAATTACATAAATCCAATACAAGCATTTATTTGGAGCTTCGGCCGGAGAATTACATTTCAATTCAATTCATAAGACATGTCACGGGCCACGAGTTGACCACACGGTTGAGATGCCACAATCAATTCTGAAGAACCCTCCTGTAGCTCGAGGTTTTAACTAGTTCAGAGTGTAATAATCAAAAATCTTCAATAGATAGACAGCTGAGGACACTGAATCACATTTGTTGTCGCTAATGGCCCGGGGTCATCTACAACCCGAGAAGGATTTGTTCCAGGTGTCCCACAACAATAACGATCTCTGACAGAGAGTTGCCCGGTCATAAACTGGCAACATCAACAAAATGCTAGGGCAGCCCCTCCTTATGGGAGATAAAGGCTGCTCAAGGTTGGTCAGCAGCGTCAGAGGGAGAAGGACATGCAGGGCAAATTATTCCCCAAAACTTACAACAATATAAAAAAGAGTGACACATACCTTTCAATGAAGGGGGAAAAGATTATCTTCTTAGAAATACTTGGTACGGTTAAGAGCTCTTTGTGCCATCTGGCCGCTCTCGTCCGTTATTCTTTCCCAGTCCGTTTGACCCACCACAAAGCCGATAGCGCGCTTTCGATCTGCTTCCTTCTTCTCTTCGAGATCAGCCCAGCGAACCTTGACAAGACAACCATGGTGTTATGACCAGGAAGTGGATCGTTTGAGATAATAATTTATATTATTTTACATTAATTTTATAAAAAAATTGTGTTTTTCCACACTGAAAGCCACCCTGGACGACCTGTAATTGTTTTCCTTTAATAGTTAACGTCATTGGCGAATCTACAAAGCAGCTGCTCTGTGGCAATTTACCCTTTTCTTTCCTGGTTGTGACATGCGCGTAGCATAATCGTCTGGCAGCTGAAGGTAGTCCTCCAGGCCGGACATGTCTTCACGTTTCCTTTTCCCACCGCTCCCCAGACCATCCAACCTGTCTGTATAAAGATCACTGAACTGGTCAGTTCCCCCTCCACACAAGAACTTAAAATGTATCATCCTGACATTTATTTGTCTATGCAAAGACAACTAGTAGATCAGCATTATCTGTTATCCTGCTTCACATTCACACAATTAAAACTACTCTGAGGGGTTCTTATTTACTTTCCCCCTAATGTGCCTGGCTTTGGATTTGTAGAAATTATTTAGAGAGTATAGTTTACATGAGTATGTAGTAAAAAATAGTTAAAAAGCTAAGAAGGCCCACTTTGCACTTTTTGGCCTTTGGTAGAAGAACCTTATCTTTGCATTCTCTCGGGACATTCAACCAAATATTTAGACATGTTTTCTTAAGATGCAGACATTAATTAATTAAGTTATTGTGCTAAATGTGAACCCTTTGTCAACACAACATGAATAGCTTAGGTCGTTGTCCTTCTGTGTGCACAGACACACAGCTATAAAACATCATAAACATCACAAATCAAACCATTAATTTCTTAAGCCTCTCGAAAAAGGTGAAATACTGGGAATTCAGTCATAAAACAAAGACTGACAAGACTACCAAAAGAAGAATACCTACCAAGTTTCGCCTCGGACGTGTCCATCTCCCATTTGCTTTTTGGAATGTAGCCCTATATTATATAAAGAAACACTTCAATGGTTAAACATCTGGGTGACACGGGGAGAAGGAGAGAGAAAGCAGGGAGGCGGCTGAAAAGAGAGCAGACTGGTTTATCAGAAATTTAGAGACAAACATAACTGAAGGATGAGACTGCGGGAGGACACATAATGTAACAGGGACATGCAAATAGTTTTGATCTTGCAAGTTAGAAGAGACTCATGTTTTTAGACTTAGCATTTATCTCGGCCACATGCAAAAAAAAGTAGGAATGGACAACAGCTGTGCTGCTTTGAAGAGCATTGGTTCTGTGCTTTTGCTTTGAAAACTAAAAGGTCATCAAGATAACCCTGTGTGAGTTAATGACAATGTGATCGACATATTTTACATTACACAGAACAATGCCCTTGTGTCTGAGTCTGACATGCTCCTACTCAAGCTTTTACTTAAAAAGAAAACTGAACATATAAAGTTTCCTGGTCAAAAGCAAACTGAGGTTTCTGACGAAGCTTCACATTTCCCTAACCAATCGTCAGCTGCAGAATCACAGATAGGCCATTTGGTCGGCTAGCACTAGTCAGTCCCAGGTTTATGGCTCTTTGAGGACGGTATCTCGGAGTATTGCATGCTCCAATTTAGATATCGTGTAAGTTTCTGGTTCAGTAAATCACTTAAAATCAGAAACTATTTTATTTTAACAATCGAAACCATGACCGTTTCACCAAATCCTAGGACAGATTAAAGATTGTCTGCAACAAGTAATGAATTAAAATGAGTAAGGCCGATAAGAGTTGCATCTGTGGCACGTTCTGTCAAAGTGCATGCCTAACCAAACTTTTTCTGGTTGAAAAACAATGCATTTAGTTCAATAATCTCTTTTGTTCAAAATATATATATTTTTTCCTAACAGTTTTGGTTCATACATATTTGTTGTTTTTACTCTTTAATATTTTTGTAAGGCTTTGTGTTAAAGGCTTGCATCTGATATGTATTCAACAAAATATCAACTTTTTTCTGACATTTATTTGTTTTTGGTCTGTGTTTATTTTATTATTTGGTTTAGTTTTGTATTTCTTAAGATGCATTCACATCAGTCAAAGTATACATTTGTGTAACCCCTTTATTTTTTGTGTTAAATGAAACACAGGTGTTTTCAACGATTTGTTCTGATTAGACCTCTGCTCAGGTTTAAGGTGGGCGGAGCTTTGTGTGGACATACGAGAGTCAGAGATGTCAATCAAGCGCAGGCTGTACAGGAACCCTGACAGAAGTCTCATCAGACACGTGAGAACACCTGTGTGGGCGGAGCTTTAAAGAGTTCCATGTTATTTGGTATATTAAAATGCGCATTTTGTATGTTTTTTTCTAACAATATTTAAAGTGTGTAAATTATGATAAATAAACCCGTTTTTGCTCAGCTTGTATGCACATGTGGCACAACAAAACACACAAATGATAAAGATATGCAGCTGGAAACTCATCTTCCAGTAGCATCTGCTCAGGTCAGGCGCTTTGGATTTCAGAGTTTAAAATACAACTCGAAGTTTGATCATTGAACACAGAGAAAGGTGGCAACCTTTTAAGAGAACAGATGGATAAGTCTGTTTGAATTATTTATGATACACAATTAAGGCACAGTTCATATTAAAACAATTAAATTAACTATATACAGGCTGGATATCCAGCTTTTACTGCCAAGAAGCAGCTTCTGCATACAATGTGCAGTCGAGTCCAACACTACATCACTGATGGATGTGGTCGCAGATAAAACAAGCCATATCTGACCACATTCAACTGTGATGCTGGTGTGATAAATCAAAATTGTAAAAATATATTGTATTAAGAATAGGGCTGGGCAAGTAAACACATTATTACTGCGCTAACCCATTAAATAATAAACAGTTTTTTAAATTAATATTATTATTATTTTGAAAGTCTGTTGCTCACTGGCTCGGAATACACATACAAAATACACATACAGACAAACCATGGGTCACAGGAGGGCTGGGATGTTGATCAGTATTGGCTTAGGATGGGCGTCCTCAGGCGTTTCAACCAATGAGAGCATTTGGGGCAGGCCTAAGATTCTTGAAGTTGAGATTTTCAATAAATATTTTACCTGCTACTGTGTGAAGGGAATACTGCTGCTAAAAAGCACCTTATTTGTTTAAAGTGTTTTTTCAAACCATATCTTATTGCACATTTGTTCATAGCAGTACTTTTAAAATCAAAAGTGCGCAATACACTACTTTTGAATTAATTATTGAATTAATTGCAGAAAATCATGAGATTAATCACAAAAACATTTTTTTACTGTTGCCTAGCACTAATTAAGACCAGTAAAATAGTGCAGCATCACAGAAAGAAATGTTTTGAATTGTGCTTACTTTACTACACAATAGTAATCTTATTAATAATTATTTAAACATTTCCATATGAGGCAAATATGTAAGTATTTAGCTTAAAGTGCACCTATCATGCTATTTTAAGACAATAGCATAGGTCTCAAATATATAAAAAACATGTCTATGAAGTGATCACCCATTCTAGCCATGCCTCATATCCCCTCATATTTTCTGACGCTGTGACACACCGGGGACACATATTTATGTATAAAAGACATCAAAAAGTGCATTTTGCATGATAGGTCCCCTTTAAGTGTGCCTAATGCCAGCATTAAGTGGCTTGAACAAGGTAGTAGCCTGTGTGTGTTGTCTGTTATTTGTGTGGTTTGTATAATGCTTACGTTGTTCTCCCTTTTTTACCCCGACGCAAACGCTGGAGCTTTTTTATTGAACGCTCGGACTTCCGATGACAGGCCAAACTTTTGCGAACACGGGACGTCCTGAGAGGTACTCCGCGTACTCAACAATTGTACTCCAGTAGTGATCGTTTAGTAGGTGACCCGTATTACTGTTTACGCCAGTCATTGTATGTGGTTGACGAGAAGTTATCTGTAATTGAGTAGTTGATAGGTGTTTGACTGTTTGACTGTGTAGTTCGCTTAACGTAGTAGAGTTATTGTTAGTTTTTTACGTTGGATATTAATTGATAATTAACTACATTTGGTGAATTGTGTATATATTTTTACCGTGTGTGTCTTAGGTCTTGTAACTGAGTATACTTGACATTACTGTTATGTTTTTGGTTTGAATCATGTCGACACTCTATCATCTTTCCGCAGACTCAAAAAGTCTAACTGTGTACGTTTTTTACATCAACACCGTATTATCTTTTACTTGCCGATTATGTTTTTTTTTATCATAGTTGTCCCTAAAGTTGTTGTCATCTAGCATCTTGTGGACCCGATTTTGGTGATTCTAGGTACGCTGTCTTTGTCATTAATATGAAAAGACCAGAAGCATTTTGTTTGACTCAAACACTTAGAGTTGCTGCACTCTGCACTCGAAGATCCAACTAACCTATTTGCGGTAAGTATCAAAAATATAAGTCTATTTATCTAACCTCATTATTACCATTTTGTTATTCAGGTGTTTCGGACTTTTACCTTCCGTACGTGCATACTGTCACGCGTAGGGATTATGGGTGGTTACTCTCGTAGGTCCTGTTGTTGAGTTTTACGTTGTTCCAAACTCAGAGATAATTAGTTTTCTGCTTGTTTGTTTTATATTTTTGAAAATAATTATAAGTTTGTGAAAGAGATTTTTGCTTGGGTCAAATAGTTTAGTTGAGATTGTGTCGAAACGAAGTAGTTAATAATCTCAACTTTTTATAGAAAAAGGACGACAGTGTCTATTTTGATGTTTGTGGCGGAGTTCTTTAGTTCTTTTTAGATTGTGTTGTTTTCCCTGTGAGTCCTTTCTGCCTATTTTATCCTAGATTGACGGAGACATAGACATGAGCGGTTGGGTCTCTCTCTCTTCGAATATTGTTGTCTTCTATTATAATTGGTTTGGATTTACACTGGTTTGTGTGCCTGAAGGGTGTGTTAATGTGGTAAATGTTTTTTATCTGTTTTTTGTTCTTAGCTAGTTTTCTTAGGATCAAAAAGGCCTGTTCGTTGTAAATATAAACTAGTGGTATCCGAAAACGCATTCCTCGTCGTGTTTAGTTTATCATGATTGAGTGAAGTCGGTGTTGGTGTTCCTGTTCTTAGTGTGTCTGTGTGTTTATAAATATTTCGAAAAGAAGATTTTGAGTGTGTCTGTGCGCTTATACTTAGGTGTCCCTGTATTTTGCGAAATGAGGTTGTTCGGGAATTGTTGTTGGTTTTCGCGTTTTTCGTGGACTTAAAGCCATTTTCTATCTAGGTTGTTTGGTTGGCGGGCTTACTCGGTGCCGGCGGGAATTGTGTGAGTCTATCGACTTGTATCGGTTCTCTCACATGGCGTGTCAGGGACATAATAAGTTGACATGTACCTGTTGTTTTTAATACAATATCAATCTTGATCTAGGTATTCTTCTAACTCTAGATCTAGTTCGTGTTACATATAGGTATAACTACATTTGGGGTATCTGTGTACTTTATTATTGATTGTATGTTCAGGTAATATGATTGTATGTGTATTGTGTTTTCCTATACTTCGTTTGATTGATTGTTTTTTTAGCTTTGTATCTACTACTTATCTTAGTAACTGGATTTCGTGATCCCTACGTTTTTTTGTCTAACTATTTATGTTTGTCGGCTGGTTAGGTCCATTTTAGCGATGTGTAACTTTAGTGTAATTCTTTTCTTTTGAGCAGATATATATATCTTCGTTATTTTTTTTATAGGTTAAGTGCGTTTCGTTGACTGAAGAGCTTTGCCGTGTCGGGTCCTTGTTGTGTAAACTGAACTGTTGCGCGTGTGCGTCAGGTGTGTGGTGTGTAGGCTAACTTGCGTAGATCTTGTTGTTGAACGTGGGTGATCGGTTCGACGAGTGTGATGTCACGTCTGCAGGCTAGCTTTTGCGTGGTTACCCTGTTTTTTGGTTGGTGTTTTGGGGTTGGTTGGTGTTTCACGTTGTTGACCCTTGTTGAGTCCTGTGGATGTTGGCTTTTCTTTTGGCCTCACGTATCGGTCGACGGCTCCTTGCGGCGAGTTTGTGTCTGTGATTTTTTTGTAAGTTTGTAACTGTGTATTGGGTAGCTTTGTTTGTTACGGCTGTTACAACGGCTGGCTCATGTATCACTTCTTGTGTGTGTCCTCATCTAATGACTCTGTTATATTTGTACTGCTTTAAATTGTTGATGGATGAGTTTTTCTCTCATGAGTCTATGTGTTTATTCTTGTACTCACACTCACATCGCTTCTAGCGTCTTTTTTTTACGCCGCCGACACAGATAATCCCTCTCTGTCATTGCTGTCACGTAGGGCTATTATGTTTCATGACTGATCCAGACTCAAGTAAGTTTCTGAGGCTGAACACCTATACGCTCTGTGTTGTCTCCGCATAATCTGTTTTGTGTCTTCCGGTCCACGGGGGCAGTTGGCACTGGTCCTTGGGGACACAGAGGGGGGAAGTTTTTTCCAATCTTATAATGTTAAATAACCTTGTTTTAGTTTAGTCTCTGGGCCTACATGTCACCTGCTCTTTGACAATTAATCGAACATTTTCATTTATGTGACCAAATACATAAAAATAATTTAACAGGTGAAGTCTCACATTCTCTGACATAGGTATCTAGATCAGAGAGAACTAGCTCGTCTCGTATGTAAAGTTTCGACGTTGAAATAAAATAAATAACTTCCCTTAAAAATGTCTTTATTAAAAAGTCAGTAGAACAGGCGTCGAAGTAAGACAATTTTTTTTTCTCTAGAACCTCGTTTAGCATAGCCCTTGAATTTTAGCGCTAAGCAATCAACTCACATAGCAAATGTAGGGATTAATTATGTTACTAAATAATTATGGTATAGTAAATTGGTCTCCTAGAAAAGAGACTTGAGAAGGGATTGAAAAACACAGGACACAAAATAAGTAACTTCTTTCACAGTTGTACATAATAAAAAATAAGTTATTAGAAGAGGAAAAACCCTTACTTTGTTAAAACACTATTTTTGCTACTCCTTGCAAAAAACAGGGAAAAATAAAAAACATTTTGACTTGTTACAGAGGGAAATTAGAAAGGATNTACTGATATACACCTGAACATCAGCAGGAGAGGACTCTTTAAAGTAGAGATTTAAAGAGTCCTCTCCCGCTGATGTTCAGGTGTATATCAGTATGTAGTGTCTCTACTTTAAAGAGTCCTCTCCTGCTGATGTTCAGGTGTATATCAGTATGTAGTGTCTCTACTTTAAAGAGTCCTCTCCTGCTGATGTTCAGGTGTATATCAGTATGTAGTGTCTCTACTTTAAAGAGTCCTCTCCTGCTGATGTTCAGGTGTATATCAGTATGTAGTGTCTCTACTTTAAAGAGTCCTCTCCTGCTGATGTTCAGGTGTATATCAGTATGTAGTGTCTCTACTTTAAAGAGTCCTCTCCTGCTGATGTTCAGGTGTATATCAGTATGTAGTGTCTCTACTTTAAAGAGTCCTCACTGTGTCTGCAGCTGCTGACGTTCAGTATTCCTGATTGTCTGCAGGGACAGAATCCTGCGTTAGGAGCGTAATCCGTCCCGTTAGCAAACAGTGTTTTGGGAGCAACGTATCGATAGAGAGGGATTCCCTGCATCTTCCCGTCACGCTGGTACACAAGCTCTATGGATCTGAAGGAATGAAGAGGGGAGAAAGGATTTTAAAAAAGAAAGGAGGAAAAGACGGTAATAATACTTGTATCCGAATAAATATATATATTAAAAAAACAATTTAGATTGGAGAAAATGTAATTGAAAAAAAAAATCGATCAAAATGTTTTTGATGAAATAAAACAAAAAAAATATTTTTCATAATTTGTTAATCATTATTTATTTATATATTTAAAATATACATATTTATATAATTGTATTTATATTGTATGTTTTGGGAAGACCAACATATTACAATTGGCGTCCATGTTTGTTTTGGTGCAAGAACATGTGACAGTTGGCGTCCATGTTTGTTTTGGTCCAAGAACATGTGACAGTTGGCGTCCATGTTTGTTTTGGTCCAAGAACGTGTGACAGTTGGCGTCCATGTTTGTTTTGGTCCATGAACGTGTGACAGTTGGCAGCCATGTTTGTTTCTGGAGAGAACGCGTTGCAGTTGGCAACCATGTTGGTTTGTTTTGGTACAATACAGTATACGTAATAATTGGCGTCCATGTTTGTTTTTGGAAATCAACATATTACAGTACGAAGAAGTAACTTTTTTATATTTGTTCCCAGATTGTGCCGCTCTTATGTCAACACTCTATTAAAAGTACAAGTACCTGAAAGTTATACTTAAGAGCAGTACTTGATTACATGTAGTTTGTGTTTACCTGCATGCGTCGGGGCTGTAGAAAGGTAAAGTGCTCTCTCTGGTCATGAATGGAGCCCACATCTGTCCAGCTGTTCCGTTGATCATGTTACACTGAGGAGTCTTCCAGTAGTTCAGCTAGTAAACAAACAAAAAATACAATATTTAGAAAGGAAGTTCCCATGATTAAAAAAAGTGTTATTTATCCGCCGCCCCGTGATTCGAATCCACTCCTAATTTTAGGTGCTTTTTCCTTCAACATTTCATGAAATTTCGACCCGTAGTTTTTCCGTAATCAGAATAAAAATGTAATAATTAAAAAGTTTATAATAGTGAGTTAAATGTCACCTATCATGCTATCTGTAGGCAATAGCATAGGTCTCAGATATATAACAATATATAAAAAACATGTCTATGAAGTGTTTTGCTCAAAATACCAAACAGATCACCCATTCTAGCCATGCCTCATATCCCTCTATTTCACTTCCTGTTTCTAAAGTGCTGATTTGGGGTATAAAGCTTTACAAATAAAAAAGGAGGGGGCTGAGCTCATGCGGGACCCGGCAGCTACTGTCTAAACTAAATACTGCCGTGATGAAACGCCATATCATGGATTATCAAGGATTATTTCTGAAACAGTATGGAGCTCAAAGGCTTTCTCTCTTGCCGGTTATCAGAGTCCTGCACGGGTCTGATTTTCAAGACCCTCTCCCGCCCCGCACCAGCGACGTGCAATACCGAACCCGCCCCGCTACCCGCACATATTGCCAATTAGTTCCGCAACCCGACCCGACCCGTCGGCACAAGATCCGCAACCCGACCCGAACCCACATATATATATGAGCAGCGAAAACGTGCAATTATTAACACACGCAGTTGCATTTGTCTCAAAAAGCGTGGGATGTTGGTTATTTTCTGCATCTGGGATGAGACCAAAAGCCTCCCAGACGTTGGATTTCGCTCTTGAGGAAGTGTTATTGAAAATGCTGTATTCTCCGCTAGAGAGCTTCACCTCAGCCATTTCGAATGTAGCAGATTATTGCGCTGCAGAGGTTATGATTATGCGCGGTCCCGCGGGGGAGAGGTCTGAGGATTTAAACATTAAACTAAATTATTATTATTTTAATATATTTATTATGCAACACCCGCGACCCAACCCGCATCATCTTTGTTTTACCCAGAACCGAACCCAGAAAAAAGCGTTTGAAAAAATACCACCCGCGAATCACCTTTTTTGCGGCTCACCGTCCTGCATGCAGGACTCTGCCGGTTATACCACAAGGTGAGTTCCTTTTTATTTCCTGCTTCTTCACACACATGCTCTCCAGTACAGGTTAGCTCTAAGTGTTAGCCATGCTAATGTCAACACTGACCATATTACGTCCAAAACAGTCGGGCATTGTTTCTGATAGCAACGTTTCTGATAGAGCCGTGGGTCCACATTTCAGATATTACGTCATATCGGACGCAAATCTGGATCAGCTCCGTTGTTCCCCCGTTTTTAGAGATTTGGGTACGGATGCTGCGTGAGTTCCCAGACACACCGGGGACACATTGATGTATAAAAGACATCAAAAAGTGCATTTTGCATGATAGGTCCCCTTTAAAGACTCACCTCCGTCAGTCCGTTCCAGGAATCGACTTGGTGAATCTTCCTGATGTCGTCTCTTCCGGTGAAGATGGTGAACAGGCCGGTGTTGGAGTTGTTAAACTAAAAAAAGACATCATAATAAATAACAATAATAATATATATATATATATATATTTAATAATAATACTACATTCTAGTAATATTTATTTTTTACGCATTGCTTTTTCATACAATATAATTACAATTATAAATTATATTTGACGTGAAGGAAAGAATATAAATAATAATAACAAAAAAAACAGCCTGAGTAATGATTAACCATATCAAATATATACATTTCAGTTTATATATTAAAATAATACAAATAATAAAGTATTTTTTTCTTTCATCAAAAAAATCTAAACCACATTTTTTTCAATCCAATTTTTTCCAACCTAAATAGTTTAATTTGTTATTGTTGCTAAAAGCTTTAGCTTGCATGGTAATATACATTTTGTCCCTTTTCCTCAGTGTGTATAAACCAAACCCTCCAAACTATGTTGCACATCTGGACACAGCTTTCTTCACATGTGTTTCTCGTCCCCATGTGTGACATTGAAGCCTTTAAATCACTCACTTCAGCAAAGAGGCCGAACTTCCCCGTTGAGGGCAGCATACCCGGCATCCATTTATTCAGGAAGTCCACCAGGCCGCTGTCGTAGCCCCACATCAGGTCCCCCACCGTCTTCGTGAGGAAGGGCCCCTCTTTGAAGGTCTTAAAAGTGGCGCTGATCATCAACCGCACGGCGTAGGGAAGGTTCTCCATCATCCCTGCTGCTCCCTGAAAACAAGGAGCAGAAATCTCAACGTTTGTGATACTTACATGTTTAGTTCAGCACATATTAACACCACTTTATGATTTCTGAAGCGAAAAGCTAAAGGAACTACAGCACGGTCACATGACTTCACGTCCCCACCACTAAGCTAAAGGAGGCTAATGTTGGGCTATAAAGGAACTACAGCACGGTCACATGACTTCACGTCACCACCGCTAAGCTAAAGGTGGCTAATGTTGGGCTATAAAGGAACTACAGCACGGTCACATGACTTCACGTCAACCACCGCTAAGCTAAAAGTGGCTAATGTTGGGCTATAAAGGAACTACAGCACGGTCACATGACTTCAGTTCACCACCGCTAAGCTAAAAGTGGCTAATGTTGGGCGTGATGATGTTTAGTCGTCTCGTTTAGACACTTGTTAGCAACCGCCGTTTTTAAACTTCAACCACAGACCTTACTTCAGGCTAAAAACCAAAAACAGACACAGACCCTTTCAAATGTATACACTATTATACTAAAAGCAAAAATAGCAAAAATATTAAGGTAAATAAATAAATAAATGTGACAGCAGTTAAATTTGAGACAGGAAAATGCCTGCTCTACCCAATTAAATATATGAATGCATAGTCCACATAGTGTACTAAATGGAAGTTAAATAGTGAGGAATTAAAGTCTTACCAGCACCAACATGTTAGGGATCGTGACGACTTCGGACTCGTTCCCCGAGGACATCGTCGGCTCAAAGTAATACGTTCTGTACTCTCGGTACGACACGGTACCGTTGTCGTGAAACGTGATGTTGTCTTTCTGGATCCGTTTCCTGAAAAAAGACAAGAAAATGTGAAGAAATTATTTTTCTCCCGTAATTTCAACATTTTAGATGCAAGAAGATGTTTAGAAAAATGTTGATACACTTCAGTAATGACCTTGCACCCATATAAATAGGCATACTGTATCAATCAATTATAATAATGATAGATAGATAGCCCAAATAATGTTAAAACTAATATATTAGAATTTATATAAAAAGTTATCATATTAAATGGGATATTATCATTTTAAATCAAAATTATTTGTATCCAGTTTTTATTTCTGCTTATAGTTAATAAATGACATTTTATTGCTTTTTATTGCAGATATGAAACATCTTAAATTGCCATGTTTACAGTAAATGTGCCAACGAGAAAAAGCTATCTTGCGTTTGCTATGTATCCTTGGTCTTGCCTAATACTCTCCTGAAAGGATGCTAGAAATTAAATCACAGGTATCCGGCACCTCCAAAGGAAACTAGAGAGTATTTAAAAAGGTAGATAACATTGCTTTCTTTGACTTTCACTACCATTACTTTGTTGTTATAACATTATGGAAGCTTTATTGTTTGCATGCCCTTTAGTTCAAGGTACACTTTAGACTAATACATAACAGCAGAGGATAAGATGAAGGAAGCAGATAAAGACTGGCTCAGCCATCCCATAAACACTAAGCATTGATTACATAAAGGCACACTATCTATTTGTCCACAAAGCTACCTGTTTTAATATCTGCACGGCTTTGCACTTTTCAAACCAATACTGCACATATTTGTTTGCATTTGTGACGACCCCTGCCTTACTCTCCCCTGTTGTGTGTGTGTATGTCCCTTTAACGTTCTCCCTTCCTCCCTATCAGTGCTGATTGAGGGCACCTGGCCGCCGGTACCTGAGGAGTGAAAGGCCCGAGCCAGAGGCCGTTTCTCAATGTCGAGTACACATGCTGCAGAGACACTATTTCAAGTATACTACGTCATGGAGTGCTGCCGAATGCTGGGCATTTAACATGCATTCAAAAAGTCCTTCGGCGCCACTCGATGACGTAGTATACTTCACATAGTGGCTCTGCAGGAGGTATACTCGATATTGAGAAACGGACAGATCTTGCTCGCTCTCTCTTGGAAGGATCTGTGTTTGACAGCTGCTACCTGACCTATATGCTTTTGTTTCCCTTCCTCTGATGCCCCTTTCACACCAAGGCTTTTCCCGTTCAAGCTCCGTGCTAGAGCTTTTCTGGTTCGGAACCGGTTCTTCGGTTCAGCTCCCGCCCTGTTCACACAGCCTGAGAATTGTCAATCTCTGTGATGTGTGACTAATATGGTGGACTTGTAGTCTCCCTCTCCTGAGAAATTTCACTGTGTGTATGAACTAATGTGGACTTGTAGGTCGTCCTCATCCTGGAGAATTTCATCCTGTGATGTATGACCTATAAGTGGACTTGTAGTCGGTCCTCCCCTGAGAAATTTCATCTCTGTGATGTATGAATATAATGTGACTTGTAGTCGTCACTCTCCTGAGAAATTTCATCTACTTGTGATGTATGACTATATGTGGCACTTGTAGTCGTCCTCTCCTGAGAAATTTCATCTCTGTGATGTATGACTTATAGGTGCGGACTTGTAGTCGTACCCTCCTCTGAGAAATTTCATCTCCTAGTGATGTATGACCTAGTACTGTGGATTGCTAAGTCGTCCTCTCCTGAGAAATTATCATCCTTGATGTATGACTGTATGGGACTTGAGTCGTCCTTCCTGAGAAATTTCATTCACTTGTGTATTGACTATATAGTGGCTTGTAGTCGTCCTCTACCTGAGAAATTTCATCTCTGGTGTGTATGACTGTATGTGCGACTTGTAGTCGTCCTCTCCTGAGAAATTTCATTCTGTAGTATGACTAATGTGGACTTGTAGATCGTCCTCTCCTGGAAATTTCAATCTCTGTGATGGTGACTATATGTGGACTTGTAGTCGTCCTCTCCTGAGAAATTCATCTCTGTGATATGACTATATGTGGACTTGAGTCGTCCTCTCTGGAGAATTCTCATCTCTGAGTATGTACTGACCTATAGGTGGACTTGTACTCGTCCTCTCCTGAGAAATTCTCATCCTCTGAGATGAAGACTATATGTGTACTTGTGTCGTCCCTCTCTTGGCTACAAATCATGAAATAAAACTTTTGTACGTAATAACTAGATTTAAGTCAAACATAACGTGTAATAAAACAAACATTTTGTACATTTATTTACATAAGATAACGTAAGTCGGGCTTCACATAGATGAGACATTTGTAACTCCGAAGACGTCGACCAAACCACTTCAGGTCGACACAGACAAGCAAACTGCGGGGCGACCCCCGGAGATCAACAAATCAAAAAATCCCTTGTGATACAAGAGGTGTAACCTAAACATCCACAGTACGAGTACTCCTCATTAGTCGGAGAGGCCACGGTGTCCTCTCAGCAAGCCTGCGACAATGTTTGACGTGTGTTCTACATAGATATTTGTAAGATTACCTCCCCAGTGCACCTTGAGTAACGTGGAGGAAAAGAGAGAGAGTCTTTGTGTTACGTACGTCTCTAGATAAAATACATTTTCACCTCCTATACAAGTCATCTACAGAGTAAATTCAGACTTAGAATAAGAGTGGAAAGACCATGAGCATCTAACTAAAGTGAAGGTCCCAAAATTTAAGTGTAAAAATATTCATTTTATCAGCGAAATCTCACAAAAATTGGTTCTGGAGGAACCTTTATTTAAGAGTCGACCTGATTGTGTTAATCTAAATTCCAAAGGTGCTATTAGAATAACACAATGGACTCTACACGATGAAAAAATCTTATCCTTCCAAAAAAAGTTTGGCCACCCTTATAAACCCCAAACGAATGTAAATTTTTTACGTTTATTTTATTTTCAATTTAACTTATACTTATACTTTGTATTCACAATATAATTCTGGGACCATTTTTCCCTTAGTATTATCTAATGTTTATAAATATATTTGATAATTGTACAAGCTAATACTAATTTTATTTCTTCCCTTATAAATAAAAATATATTTCCTTACAGACTACCTTTTTGAAGACTTCGCTACCCTCTGAGTCTCTCTGTACTCCCTCTCGTCCTCGAAACTAACCGTTTGTGACTACCAAAATAAACCTCCGAAGCCGGCCTTCTTAAGTGTTTGCCACACACAAAGAACTTCTAGAGATGGGTCTGGCACACAAATCGAGAACTCTCTTCTTAGTTGTGAAGACGTACCGCTTCTATTTTGTGATATTGTGGAGATACCCCGTCATTATTCTTCTGTTTTGTGGCCTCTCGTGTATCTTCCTCACGAGAACTCCTGTTTGACCGAGTTTCCAATATCCGGGTCCTTTAGTATAAAGCATTGGTGATAGATGTGTCTACACACGGATTTATGACTCACTATCCTTATCGTGAAACTATACTACGTGGGCGTCGCTTCGTCCAGTGCGCAGTCCACAGTATTGTAAAAATTATCTTTTGACTTTCACTCGTAATACTAAAGACAGGGAAAGAATAAGACATTACCATATGTGTTTAAAAACATCTTTTTTTTTTCAAACACCAGTTGTCCATTGAGCACTAACTAAGCTAACTACATCACACACACATCTCCTCCGTATCACTCACATCACACACACACACCAGTATACACACGCAGGACATCTCAGCACGACCTGCGCTACTCGGAACTTTACCAATACACACACACACACACACACACTACACACACACACACACTACGACACACTGTACTACTCAACACACACAACAACCACACAGACTCTCCACCACGACACACACTTAATATTCTAACAATAGACACACACACACACACACCACACACATACACACACACACACCTACACAATACACACACACTATTCGTCATGGTGTTCCGTTGTCACACAACTCTGTGATAGTCAATGAACGAGCTATGTGTGTGTGTCATGAGCTTAATCTCATCTCCTTTACATGACAAAACCAGTGCTATTGTCTATTATCTCTAATATTAGCTTAGTTATTCAATGATAAACCACAGTCCCTTCAATTAACTGATAGATTAGACGAGTCCAGTTTTAGGTAATACAGGACACACTATTACCTTGAAACAAAATTGCCGCTACCAATTATTTTTCACATAATATAAGATTTTATTTTGGGACGTCACTTTACATACTGAAAAAAAAAAACACTTCCCTATTTGTCATTTTGACCTTAAAGAAATGTTTTGAGGTAATAATTATTCTTCAATGTCTTCAGTCTTATTTTTTCCAAATCTTAGATTTATTTTAGCCAGATTATCATAAACCGATGTAAATACATAGATAATATATATACTCATAATCGAGTTTACAAAACATATATTAATTTACAGTCTTTTATTTAATTCTTATTGTATTTTCATTTTGATAACTTTTACAAAGAGTCGCGACTTTTTACAAAAGTTATGCGTCAAATTAATTATAAATATGAATTTGACGTTAACCAGGTTTATATATAAAAATGTTATAGTCTTTGTCCCAAAAACAGTTCCTATAATTATATATATTATATAATATCCTCTTACATGGAACAACATGTACACGTATGTATTTTTGTGTCAATTTAATCTATTTAACATATTTTTTTTCCTGGTTTATATATTTTAGATAGGTCTTTACATAATTAAAATTTTGCATTTTTATATTTCTTTATAAACGGTACTTTACCTTATATTTTTCTATTTGATGCATGTCATATTATACTGTCCGTACACAGTACCGGAGCCGAGAACCGGTATTGTTTTTTTGCACCTTTTGCCTGGTGTTATATTCCTTCTATAAATAAACATTTGGTTTGTTGATTTTTTTCTCGATGGTGCTACCCTCACAAGTAGGTCATTCGTGTCAATAACAATACACACCCACACACCTTGCACCACACCACGTTCCACCACTTAGATTACGAGGAAAGTGTTGTGTGCCAAGGTCCGGCCGAAGCCTTGACCTCG